TTTTTCACCTTCAAAATGGATCGAATAGCATAGCAATTCTCTATGGTACTACACAACAAAGGAATAATCCTTATTCACTGGGATTGAACAATGTTATTGATACATCAACAAACTAAGCCTAAAATTATGCAGGAAAGAAAATACAATAATAATATGAATGTAAATATAAATATGAATCTTAAAAATGGTAGTGAATATAAACATACAAAAAAAAAAAATTAATACACATATATTTACGATCCACACTCTCATTGAGTTGTCATCCCCACAAACTTCAACCACCGCCCTCTAACATGAACTGCTGCAGAAATCTTCTTCCACCACCGCCATAAAAATAACTACTAATTTAATCCAAAGCAATGCCAACTTCAGATTTGCAAAAAAAAAAAAAAAAAAAAAAAAAAAAAAAAAAAAAAAAAAACAAAACAAAAAAAAAACAAAACAAAAAAAAACAACTTCCACACCGACAAAGTCAAGATTGCTTCCGCAGTGTTGATTCCGCCGAAAATGCCAAAACGTCTTGAAGGGAGAGATAAATTACTCTTTTATTACATAAAATGCACACTTTAAAGACGGAGAGATTGAATCAAAAGAAAGCCCAACGCTTTGACAAATTGACAACTAAAAAAATGCTTTTAATACTATTTTCATTTTTAGTGTATTCTTATCATGCTTCCCTTTGCATCTGTTTACATATACACAGAATCCGTCCCTCCCCACTTTATCCACTTGATGAGCAAGGAACTCTATTGCTTCCCCATCAATCTTTATAGATCTGTATCTTCTCTACAAAAATAAACAAAAAAAAAAAAGAATATATCAACATTTTTTCTTACGAACCACTTTTCTTGTTTAAAAATCGAAAAATACAAAAACAAAAAACAAAAAAAAAACAAAAAACAAAAAACAAAAAACAAAAAAACAAAAAAAAAAAAAAACAAAAAACAAAAAAAACAAAACAAAACCCAATAAGAAAGAAAGAAAAAAGAAACTAAGATAATGAAAACTTCACCCGTGCAAATCACGTATCAACCTCAATTGTGGAAGATCACAGGATAATTAGCAAAAGTCAATGAAATAATTAACCTTAGTTGAGATTGTGAAATTGATGAGTTGTCTATGGTCATATAAGGTGTATTTATACATAATAGATGAGATCAAAAGAGCTTAGTATTGAAATTATAAAATGGTAAGAGATATTAAGAAAGGTAAAAGCTTCCAATTATTTACTTTCTACCCACTACTACACGCATTCCATATACATATACATTGTGTATGAGTATTGCTTTTATATATAAATATAAAATACTACACACTAATTAGCTTAATTAACAATAATAACCTTAATTACTATATATTGTATAACTACGTACATTCCTAATATATTATTACAGCATTGTTCTAATGGTTTTCCCTAATTATTTAATTAATAATATATTACTAATATAATTTTTCCTAATAAATTTGATAATAAAACTGTTATTATATTATTATTATTATTATATTATTATTATTATTATCATTATTATTATTATTGTTGTTGTTGTTGTTATTATTATTATTATTTTAATTTTATTTTATACTTGAACAATAATATTTTTATTATGCATGAACAATAATATTATCAATTATATTATAGAATATAATACCATATATAATATTACCAATTAATAGATTTTATTTATTTCCATTTGACATTTACTTACCAAATAAGTTTTACTACAAAGTTTTGGGGGGGAAATTTGTTAGGAGGATTTTACTTTTATATATATATAGATTTGACATTTACTTACCAAATAAGTTTTACTACAAAGTTTTGGGGGGAAAATTTGTTAGGAGGATTTTACTTTTATATATATATAGATTATGTGTTTGAAGTTAACATAATATATGCTTGTAAATAAATTGAATATACATAATACCACATTAACATATTATGTATATGTAATTAATATATATTAAGTGTCTTCAATTTATTTAGAGACATATTAACTGTCGATACATAATCTTTTAATTGTAGATACAAAATTTAAATGTCATTTTGAACCAATCACAATATAATGTGGACCTTGGTCCAAACGAAGGAGATATGAATTCTATTTAGGCGGGATACAATTTGTCATTTTTGGTTCGCTGATTTATTGTGTGACTCATAACAACAAGTGAGATATAATTTTTATTATGGTCTTGTTTTAGGGACAACAAAAAAATTAATAGTCACTATTTAATGGCGTGTATTGGTTAAATCATGTCTTATTACCTGGTAAAAGACCAAAAATTCACAATGAACTAAATTAGCATAAGTTTATCATAGCTTACCAATTCAAACTAAAAAATCAATAGGTCAAATAGGTGGGATATAATTTTCGTATATGAATGCCACGAGTTAAATTATTGACAACACTCTCTTAGTCAAACATAATTACAGTCTTTTTAATGCGACTTACTCCTTTGAACGATTACACAATAGTGGAGTTTCGCCACTTCAGTTTTTTTTTTTTTTTTTTTTTTTGGGTCATATATCCTTTTATACTATGAAATCTAAAGTGTACAATTTTGTGTTGAGTTTTGAAGTTGAGCATTTTCAGTTTGTTGAAAAATTAGCTAAAAATGTCATATAAATTAGTTTTTTTAGACAAAAATTGAGTGGAGTCCACTTTCACTTTGGGTCGGTCACCGCCAATTCGAGTTCTCTTAAGTGAAATATTTAATTTGATATATTATACACTCAAAACGGATAATAGATGAATGATAAAATAATTATAGAAGTGTATCAATTTGAGTTGAAAAATATAATTTGATATTTATAAATACCATTGTCCCACATTGAAAATAGAATATGGGGTCTCACTATTATATATACAATTATTATTATCTTTGAAAAATTTTAAATTGTATATTATATAAATTATCTATCGCACATAGAAATGCAAATCAAATTTTAAAGACAAAAACTTGTGTGAAAGTATTACCCAATTCTAAAATGATACTCGAAGTGTTTTTCATATAATTTAAAACCTATTTTTAAAAAACAATATTGGTAATTAGTTTCACCATTGGACTACTGACTAATTTTGCCAACTCCATATCGAACCCATGAGAAAATGGGAAATTATAATAGTCCAAAGTTGAAATTAGTTGCACAATGTGATCATGTAGCATTGTTGAAAAGCTCATTCAACTTTTAATTGTATCTCCTATCACTACTCTACTTGATTCAACGTAATTGAAATTTTATAGTAGACTATATCTTATACAAATGGTACCACCTAAGCACATATAAATCGCTAAATAAACATTAAAAGTGCACAAATGATAGATGAGGGTGTTCTCTCCAAGAAACTGTTCAAGGTTCCAAGACTAACCAGTTCTGAAACCAGTCTCGTATGGTGATGGATTCGCCGGACAACGGCCAACTCCGGCCACCTGTTCAAGAACTCTTGAACGCACACCGAAGAAGTCGAAGTTAGCAGATACCCAGACCCAAGTTCAGATGAATAACCAGACCCCAGAGATAGTCCCTGAAACACTAGCGTCACCAGACGAAGGATTCGCGAAGGAAAGTCTGAATCAACAGCCGTCTACAAGCTATAAGGCAAGTTTACACAATTTCATGCAGTACGAAAATGAATACTCTGAAGCCCAAGTGGACGAATCCTCAGACGACGAGGAACTTGAAGTGGACGATGACCCGGAATGCCCCAGAATCAGATTCTCTAAGAAGGAAAAGGAAAGGCTAAGGCGGCCTTGGAAGCGCACGATGATCCTGCGTCTGCTAGGTAAGACTGTCGGCTACAATTACCTCCATCGTCGTTTACAGTCTCTTTGGAAGCCCGAAGGCCACCTGGAACTCATAGATTTGGAACAAGATTACTTTCTTGCCCGGTTTGAATCCCAGAGAGACTACGATGTCGCGAGGTTCGAGGGTCCTTGGATGATATTCGACCACTACCTTGGTGTCCAGGAGTAGGTGCCAAACTTCCATCCTCACTCAAATACAACACAGAAAATTCTAGTTTGGATTCATCTCCCTGACCTATCGATCGAGTACTTCGATGAGAAAACCTTAAGGAAAATTGGGAATAAAATAGGCAGGACGATCAAAATTGACGTTACAATCGGACTAGCTACTCGTGGGAAATTCGCAAGAATTTGCGTAGAGGTTGATCTAACAAAGCTTCTATTAGCCAAATTCACGATCGAAGAAGATGTTCTACCTATAGAGTACGACGGCATACACTCGGTATGTCTTAGATGTGGTATCTACGGCCACAGGAAGGAGCAGTGCGGCCAAGAACCAGAATTGGATAAGCAGGCTACATGCAATCACATGGAGGTTGACGCTGGGATTGGAAAGGCAGATGATGCGGATTATGAACCAGTGGCGACCAAGCAATTACCAGTGGCCAAACCACATGCCACGGAGAAATTTGGTACCTGGATGTTAGTGAAAAGGAAGGATAGGAGGCCAAATAAGAAGGGTGAAGGAAGATGGGGAATCCAGAAGCTAGCTATTGTAGAAAAAGAACGGGAACCCACCATCACCAAGGTCTACAATAACCAACTCTTTGCCACCCGCTTTGCTCCTCTGGGAGAGATGGATGGGGATGCCCTAGTTGAGGAGGAAAGTGGGGAGCCTATCATGCATGTGTCGGAACAAAGAGCTGTCGAGAAAGAACCTGTTGGGTACCAGAGTACTAAGGACCACCCGACTTCTCTGTTATCGCCAATTGGGTTCCCTCAGATGATTAGGACACATCACGCTCCAACTGTAAAAAGGGCGAGGTGGCAGAACAGGCACCCCAAGGAAGGCAGCTGCGGAGGCTGAGCATATCGTGGTTAGGGGCTCAACAAGGGGCAGAGCAATTACACGGATTGTGGTGCAGCATAGGCCTATTGATCCTAGAATATTGTCACCGGGTTCTACATCGACACCTAGACGCAATGTTCCAATCGATGATTCAGTAGATTTTTTTCATTGTGATACTCCTAAAGACGCAATGGAGGACGATGCAGGGGTTAATAGCCAACTTGGTTCGGTTGCGGAACTCCGCAAGCTCAATTGAGCTTTCTTTTTCTCAACTTGTTTATCATGAATTTACTTATTTGGAACTACCAATGGGCGACGTCTAGAACATTTCGCCGCACACTTGAGCAATATCTTAAAGATCATAAACCAGTTATTGTCTGCCTCCTAGAGCCTAAAGTTTCTAGGGAGCACACTAATGACATTTGTTTTGAGCTAGGCTATGACGAATGGCTTCGTATTGAAGCATTCGGCTTTTCCGGTGGGATTTGGGTGCTTTGAAAAAATACCATTTCGGTAGAAATCATGCATACACATCCCCAGTTTGCTGTCTTAGGAATCACTGAGGACAACTCTAGTTCTTGGAACCTGTCAGTTGTCTATGGGAGTCCAGACCACGCTCTTCGAAGAGAGCTGTTTGCTGAACTTTCCCATTAAAACCTGAGCCTCGAAGGGGCTTGGTTATCTGTTGGTGATTATAACTTCGTCTTAAATAGAGATGAAGTTCTAATAGTGACAATTTCTCGGTTGCCTGTTGTGCAGGTTTTAGCAACTGGATGTTCAGGGAAGGATTTATAGACATGGGTTACGAAGGTGCCAAGTTCACTTGGTGCAGAGGCATAAATTCCACGTCCTACAGGGGTGCCCGTTTTGATCGCGCTATGTGTACCATGGAGTGGAGAACTCAGTTCCCAGATGCAGTTGTCACACACCTACCCATGGTCAGTCAGACCATGCCCCCTTACTAGTATGCACAGCTCAGCCAAAGAATGATGGTAATCCTTGGAGGTTCAAGTATAATGCAGCATGGGCTACCCACCCGGGATTTATGGAGTTCGTCAAAAGTAATTGGAATTCGAATGTTGAATTGGATCAATGCAAAAATGAGCTAGCAGCCAAGTTCAGGTGCTGGAACAAAAGCACGTTTGGGAACATTTTCCATAGGAAGAGAAGAGTCCTTGCAAGGTTGGAAGGAGTTCAGAATAGCTTGACTTATAATCACAGGTCTGACCTGATCAAACTGGGAAAAATGCTCCAGAAAGAGCTGGAAGAAATCTTATTTCAAGAGGAACTATTTTGGTTTCAAAAATCTCGGGAGGACTGGATTAGCTCGGGTGACCGCAACACTAGGTATTATCATGCTGCATCTGCTGCGAGAAAGTCTAGATCCAGGATCACAAGGATTAAGAATGAACAGGATGTCTGGCTACTAGATGAGGATGAAGTTATGTCTCATATCTGCAACTATTTCACTCAACTCTTTATAGAGGACAACCAAGGACCAAGGCAGGTCTTTTGGTCAAAATCTTTCCCGACTCTACAGGACCGCAATTGACAGAAGGTCTACGAGCCTATCTCGAAGACAGATGTCAAGCAAGCACTGTTCAGCATGGCTCCTTTCAAAGCACCTGGGCCGGATAGCTACCACGCAGGGTTCTTCCAAAAATCATGGTCAGTAGTGGGAGATGATCTAACGAAATTTGTACTTGAATTTATGAAATTCGGGATCCTACCAGATGGCTGCAATAACACAATACTGACCCTGATCCCCGAGATCTCAAGTCCAAAAACGGTCAAGCACCTCTGGCCGATTAGCCTTTGTAATACCACCTACAAACTCATTACGAATGTGTTAACGAATAGATTGAAAGGTGCGATCCAAAAACTAATAGGGCCCCACCAATCAAGCTTCGAGCCTGGTAGACAGATAGCTGACAACATTCTGGTTTATCAGGAGGTCCTGAACCTTATGAAGTCTAAAAGAGGTAGCTTGGGACTAATGGTTCTGAAGATCGACCTAGAAAAAGCATATGATCGCGTAACTTGGGCATTCATCGAAGAGACCCTCCAGGAAGCTGGCTTCACTCAGCTGGATTACAATCATAATGGCTTGTGTTACAACGTCAAAATTAGCCATCAATATCAATGGGAAGCAGTCAGATTGGTTCAAGCCAAGCAGGGGCATCCGCCAAGGAGACCCAATATCCCCGCTGCTCTTTGTCTTCTGTATGGAGCGCTTAAGTCATCTAATCAGTGAGAAGGTCAACTCTGGAGAATGGAGAGGCATTCAAATGGCAAGAGATGGCCCATGGGTTACCCACCTACTATTCGCAGACGATATGGTGTTGTTTGGAGAAGCAATATCCCAGCAAGCCCGAATCATTAAACATTGCCTTGATGCTTTTTGTGACGCTTCGGGCCAACGTGTAAACTCCAGCAAATCTTCACTCTATTTTCTCTAATAATACTGCCCAAGAAGTGCAGCAAATCATCTCGGTTCAGCTTAACATTCCTAAGTCTAATAACCTTGGTAGATACTTGGGGGTACCCTCATTGCATGGAAGATTGAAACAGGAGTCCTTTGATGGGCTGATTCACAGAATTCGGGGCAAACTAGATGGCTGGAGGATGAAGACCTTATCATTTGCCGGAAGGAGAACACTTGCGCAGTCAGTACTATCGGTTATCCCCCTATATCCTATGCAAACCATGTTACTACCAGTAGGGGTCACGAAAGCTATTGAGAGATTGATCCGCGAATTCTTATGGGGAGGATTTGAGGGCGAGAGGAAGTGCAGTCTCGTATCTTGGAAAGTAGTTGTGCAAGACAAAGATGCGGGGGGCTTAGGTTTGCGGAGCCTAGAAGCGATGAACTCTGCCCTTATAGCCAAACTGGGATGGAGGTTGCAAGTAGGGGACGACTGCTTCTAGACAAGAATCTTAGAGCTAGGTATCGCATTCAAAGCCTAGATCCAGCTACATGGCAACCTCGATCATCCATGTCCAATGCATGGAGGGCAATCCTGAAGGTGATACCGCTATTAAAAGAAGGGACCAGATCTGTTGTTAGAAACAACATGGCTACATTGTTTTGGCTTGATGCATGGCTTGGCCATCGACCTTTGATCGAAGCAGTTTTTGCTGTCCTACCATTACCAGTTATGTATGCTCGGGTTGCTGACTATTGGAACGACACAACTGGCTAGAATTGGGGAGAGCTAAGGTACCTACTACCGCAAGAATTGCAGGACAAACTATCAGCAATATCATTGATCGACGACGATGAGCAGCATGACGACTTAGGTTGGGGTGATGAGAAGACGGGTACTTTTTCTGTTTCTTCAGCTTACTCAATGATTACAAAGAGCTCAGGGGCCACCAGCACACAAGCTTGGAGCAATATATGGAAATTAAAAACGCCTAGTCGCATACACACTTTTCTTTGGCTGGCAAGATTGGATAGGTTGATGACTAATGCAAATAGAGCCAAGCATGGCCTAACGGAGGAGTCTAGTTGTGGACTTTGCACCAACATTGAGGAAACATCAGAACACATTCTGTGCTGCTGCCCCCAGGCTCTGCAAGTATGGGAGTCTATCATGCCAGGAATGATCCGTGCGAATCAAGACAAGTCGTTTGTAGACTGGCTCAATGCAAGCATTAGGGGTTTCAATAACAGGAACCGACAACACAAAAATAACATCTTGTTCGCGGTAACACTATGGTGGCTATGGAAGTGGAGAAACGACAGAATTTTCAACAATAAGATAGTAGGGATCCACTATAAAAGCTACTGGGTCCAAGTCCAAACACAAGAAATAAACAAAGCTTTCGAGAGGGAGAACCTTGCAGGGGCTTGGTCTTCTACAAAAAGATGGAATCTGATTAGGTGGACCAAACCTCCCAAGGGGTGGATTAAAGTAAATATTGATGGCAATTTTAATCCAAGCACAGGTCGAGCAGGCTGTGGAGGTTTAGGTAGAAATGAGAGAGGAGACTGGGTTGCAGGCTTCGTCCATGGAATTGGTACTTGTTCTGCAGAAAGTGCCGAAGCCTGGGCCTTGCTTAGAGGCATTCAGCTTGCTTAAATACTCGGTAATGTCAAAGCCTACTTCGAAAGTGACTCAAAGAGGATCGTCGACGCTATTTCCCAGGGGGCAGCAGTAGGGAATGTTGCTAGCAATGTCCTCCATGCATGCAAGCAAGAGCTGGGAAAGTTATCTGCTTGGAACCTAACCTTCGTGCCCAGAGATCAGAATCGTGTTTCAGACTTACTAGCAAAGAAAGGTGCTGGCCAAAAAGGGACCGTGATTCTTCATTATACCCCTGAGGATATTGGGCAACTCCTAAAGGAATATAAGGTCGGAGTGCCAATTTGATCCCAATAAGATGTATCTCATATGTAGTTTCTGGGTCGCCCCTTCCAATTAGATAAAAAAAAAAAAAAAAACATTAAAAGTGGCATCACACAAGCATATATTGGTCCCACACTCTCACCATCATATTTAACTATAGTTAGCTGATTAACAAATGTTGAAAACTTAGAATGGTATCAAATAAACTATTTTTGTAGTATTACTATTTGGCGTTTGAGAATTTGCATAAAGTATGCGTGTACCGTTTTGAGAGCTAGAATAAAAATCATCTAAGCAATGTATATTATAAATGGAATTATATATTCGAAAAGTTTTTTAAAAATATGTTTGTAAATTTTTAAAATGAAAAATTATCCAACTATCCAAGCAATGTTTGTTGTAGACTTGAGTAATTAGGTTGGGTGAAAAACAAAAAGGTAAAAGGTTGAGGGGTGAGGATGTAAAAAGGAAGAGAGTTCTATCCCCTTCTCCGTAGTCATTCGTCAAATTTATAACCCTTTTCCGTTAAATGGCCGTAAGGCCTTTTGGATTCATCATTCCTCGCCACCACCGCAACCGTCATCTCCCTCCAATTTCGACGTCGTTTGCGTCCACTCTCATCCGCTCTCTCTCTTCTAGGGCGTCGCTTCCTCTCACGCTCCAACAGGTCAAACCGCCGCCTCCATCTTCGTCGCAATCGAAACAGCTACCGGAAAAGCTGGCGCAGAAGATAGGAAAAGCCATTCGCCGCCCGGGCGCGGCCTCCAAGTCCCGGGTTTATTCCGATGTTAATGTTATCCGGCCCAAAGAGTATTGGGACTACGAATCACTTACGGTTCAATGGGGGTAATTAATTGAGTCATATATGAATTAGTATCCGTTCGTTTTAGCGATTGAGCTTAATAAAGTTTTTATTTTTTGTGTATTAATTGGCTGTGCAGGGAGCAGGATGATTACGAGGTGGTTAGGAAGGTCGGAAGGGGGAAGTATAGTGAGGTTTTCGAGGGCATCCACACCACAGATAATGAGAAATGCGTAATTAAAATCCTTAAGCCCGTTAAGAAGAAAAAGGTTTGATTTTTCTATAATTTGTCTCTTAATTTCCTATCAACATTCCTCAAAATTGTTTTGAGAACCATTACGGACTATAAAACAGCTAAGGGCTTCCTGTTTTCACTAGTAGCTGCAAAGAAGTGTGCGCCTTAGTGCTTTTTAGACTGTCTGTTACTTGCATGGCATGTTATTTTCTGGACTTTGAAAATTGCCCCCCTCCCTTTTGTACTCAATAACTTGTGTGCTTATGTGCAAGTTTTTTGTATGCAGATTAAGAGGGAGATTAAAATCCTCCAAAATCTATGTGGTGGACCAAATGTTGTAAAGTTGCTGGATATTGTTAGGGATCAGCATTCAAAGACTCCAAGTCTCATTTTTGAATATGTGAATAACACAGATTTTAAAGTGCTTTACCCAACTCTGTCTGACTTTGATGTTCGATATTATATTTATGAACTTCTCAAGGCAAGTTTCTGTATGCATGCCTTTTCAAATGCTCTTATTTATCTGCCTTTAAATTGTATTTCTCCAGCCCCTGCACTGGGTAATCACTAACAATTATAACCAGTAGGAGGTGCCGTGGGAACTTGTGTTTGGGTTAATTTATTCTGAATGGCAAGTATAAAAGAAAAAAAAATATAACTACCCACATCATTGCATGTAGGCATTGGATTATTGCCATTCTCAAGGAATCATGCACCGTGACGTGAAGCCTCATAATGTTATGATTGATCATGAGCGTCGGAAGCTTCGGTTAATAGATTGGGGACTTGCAGAATTTTATCATCCTGGAAAGGAATATAATGTCCGTGTGGCTTCTAGGTTTGTTTTCTTTCTATTATTTTGCTTTATGTAATTTTGTTAAAATACATTGCCCGTAATAGTACTTTAGAATTTGGATCCTAAAGTTTTTAGAGGTACAAAGTATTTTGTAAGTAGAATGTCAGTTGTTTTCATAACAAGAGATTAGCAATTTAGTCTTCTACTGCATGTGATTTGGCTTCATATGCTTTGTCCCTTTTTCTTCTTTAGAATTTTCCATTATTCTTGCAATACAACTATACAAGCCTGAAGGGATTATACTTCTGTAGATGATAGGAGCTTATTTGTCCCCTACAGACTGGTTTTCTTACACTCTCTTGATCACTGTAGATATTTTAAAGGCCCTGAACTCCTTGTTGATTTACAAGACTATGATTACTCATTGGATCTGTGGAGTCTTGGTTGCATGTTTGCAGGAATGGTGAGCATATTAACCTCATTGAATTACTTTTGTTAGTCACTTGTATACTTTCTGTTCTACTTAATACTTATCAATGTGTGGTAGGTTAGTAGGTTTACAAATGAGTTCTTAGGTGAGTTATCATTGTGTTACTTATTCATAAAATTTTGCTGCACAGATATTCCGGAAGGAGCCATTCTTTTATGGGCATGACAATTATGATCAACTTGTCAAGATTGCTAAGGTACATGTTTCTACAGCACATAATCTCATACGCCTTGCACCAGTACTGTCCATAATCTTGTAAACCTTGCACCTCGTTTCCTGTAGTGGTCTTCCATTTTACAGTGCCTAAACCCATATGAATTCTTGCAGTTGACATTGCATGGATTAACACTAGGGCCATCTTATCAGTCCAATTTATCAAAGTCGTACATAAAGTTCATCACAGTTCATCAATTTAAAATTTGATGAATTATATATAGGATTCTGACGACATTTGCCAGTGAATTTAGCATCACAGGGCTTTCCTTGCCATCCCATGGCATAATTTGTTGTGACTTCTAATTCTTACTATTGCAAAACTAACAATCTTCATTTTGAATTTTGACGGACAGGTATTGGGGACTGATGAATTAAATGCTTATCTAAACAAGTATCATTTGGAATTAGATCCACACCTCACAGCCCTTGTTGGCAGGTTAGTGTGAAGGTCATATATAATTTACTTGTTTAAGATGATTTTCCACTAATAGTAATATAATATTTCTGTGCACGTGTGTCTGTGTGTATTGGTTTCAGGCATAGCAGGAAACCATGGACAAAATTCATCAATTCTGAGAATCATCATTTAGCTGTCCCTGAGGTAGGAAGTGCATTTTCATTGCTTTGGAATCCAAATAAAGTAGTTTTCTTAGCTGTAATACACACTCTTGTTTGTAGGCAATTGACTTTGTGGACAAGTTACTTCGCTATGATCACCAGGAAAGGCCAACTGCAAAGGAAGCTATGGTAAAATTCGTCTTTTCATGGCTAGTGCACAGTACAGAATTTGAGTTGTGTATGTATAGTGAGACTTCACATACATAATACATGTTGCAATTTTGATTTTTTTCTTCAGGCCCATCCATACTTCTATCCCATAAGAAATGCGGAGAGTAGCAGAACTCGTACACAGTAGGATGACTGCTGGACTTTGGTGTTTCGTTCTTGCATATTGTGATATTTGTACTCATTCATCATTCTGCAACAATGGCATATAGTGTTGGTCGTTTGTACTGATATTTTGATTTCCATTTAGCTTAACTTAATCCTTCTTAATATTGGTTTTTATTCTTCCTTGAACATGAGGTGTTTTCTGTTGAGAAGTTAGTGATTTGGTTGTTTAGTTCTGTTTCTTGTCAACAAATAGAATTGTTTTTTTTGCCTGATTGCAACTAGGGGCTGCCAAACAGGTCATGAAAAATGAAGCCTTGAAACAGTGATGGAATCTGAAAGAAGTTATTTGTTATATCAAATGCTGATGTGTACAGCCTATCAAATAGATAGGGGTCAAATTCTTAAGCTGATATTTTCGCACTGTATGGCCTACCTTGTCCCAAGGCACTCAGCCTTTTCAAACCAGCCAAAACCAAGTACCGTCTTGTTTGTAACCTTTTCACCCAAGTGGACAAAGTGTGGGGAATTGTTAAAGCAACTTAGGAAAATAACGTGAGCCAAACACAAGATTTTCAGTCCGAAGACCATAACCTTTTCATCCAAGTGGACGGAGTGTGGGGGATCATTAAAGACAACTTAGAAAAATATCGTGAGCCAAACATAAGGTTTTCAGTCCGAAGACCATAACCTTTTCACCCACGTGGATAGAGTGTAGGGAATTGTTAGGGCAACTTAGGAAAATAATGTGAGCCAACACAAGGTTTTCAGTCCGAAGACCCCATAACGTTTTCACCCTAGTGTACAGGGAATCGTTAAGACAACTTTAAAAAATAACGTGAGCCAGACACAAGGTTTTCAATTTGAAGACCACATATATTGATTCAAGGCTAGGCTAATATATACATGACTCACCCGTCTTTCAAGCACACTATGCCGACACCTCAAAAACTCACAACACACTTCTCGTGCACTTCTCTCATGTACTACAATATCGTTATTTATAATACATCAAGGCGGTTACAAGCCAACCGTTTTGCTTTATTTAAGCTAATCACAAGCTGCCACCTCGTTGAAACTATCCACAATCCAAAGGCCCACAATCAGCAAGTTGAAACCGCCTCATGTTTTGCACATGCTTAGAAACTGCCCAACCGTTGAGAAACCGCCCCATGGTCTAGCCATACGCACACTGCTCCGGCCCCTTGGTCCACCATTCCTTGCGTTTGCTCCACAACTCCGCACCATTCGGCGCACAAGTCTGCGCCAAGGCTAACCTGCCTTGACTCGCCCATGTCACCAGCTTGCCTTTCCCGCATTTGCCCGCCTACCACTTGGTTGTGACCCCGCATTTCTTGCAAGCGTGCGACTAAGTTTACACCGCACCAATGCACCCAAGTCCGGGTTGCATCGAGCCAACCAGCAAATCGATGGACAGGACCTTGCGCCAATTCCCACCAACTTACCTTTAGAGTCAATAACTGTCGAGACCAACGTCCAAGTGTCGAACTACTTGAACCATCTTCAGACCCCGTTGCGCCAAATCCGGCCACAATGCAGTCTGTCGCACCAACAAGGCACCAACCGAGCCCAAATCCGACTAATATCCTCTAAGCCACAACGACTTGCACACCCGGACTAAGAACGAACCCCATGCCCTTGCTCGTCGGCAACACAACCTGTGCCCACGAACCAAGTCGGCATTTTCCTGCAAGCCAACTGACTGCCAAGTCGATGCTTGCCCAAAGCCATGGCATCCTCACGACTTAGGCCAACTGGCCAAGCAATACCCTCTTTGTGCTTTAACCACGCATCTTTGGCTGAACCTAGTCAAAACCATGCCTTTGAATTTTCTAGTCATGAAAAATGAGCCTTAAAATAGTGATGGAATTTGAAAGAAGTTATTTGTTATATCAAATGCTGATGTTGTACAGCCTATCAAATGAAGCCCTCTCTCTATTTTGAGTGATGAGAGAAACTCGCAATCACTATTTAAAAATGTGTTCTAGGTAAATTGTCTTGTGATTTTAATCTGAATGGCAAAATACTACAAAGAGAGAAATTAACTTGAGTTACCTATAATTGACCGATTGGTAACTCTTATTATGAGCCAAACTAAAAACCTTGTGGTTACCACCGAATCAAGTGCTAACTACCAAATTAGGGACTTAAGGTTGTCCATTATCCCCTCTTTTATTTTGTTTTAATCTGATTATAAAGGCAACAGTCTCGTAGTTACCAAGATGTGATCTTTTTTTTTTTTGCACATCTACACATTTATATTGTATAATATAATATTTTAATACCAAAATGAAAGATATGTTTCTCCTGAAACTGATAGTTAAATGTTATAGGCCACGATATCTAAGATTGCGTCACAGGCTTAGAAACTTAGGAATAAAAAAACGAAGCTTTTCTGGAGTGCTTCTTCCCAAATGAAGCGTTTTTGTGGAGTGCTTCTTCTCCCCCAAATGAAGCGTTTTTGTGGAGTGCTTCTTCTCCCCCAATCTTCCATTTAATAGGAAACCCAAAATACAAATTTCCCAGATATCCCTTCTTCAAATACCTAGGCATCTATTTATAGAAGATAAAAACTACCCACTACCTCTAACTACCTAGGAAGTGGTCATCCCACTACTACTATTACAATAGTGGTCATCCCACCACCACTACTACAATAATAATAATAATAATAATAATAATAATAATAATAATAATAATAATAATAATAATAATAATAATAATAACTGCAGAACACTTGTATCATTAAACTAGAGGATAAAAACCTGCTATATTTCTTGCAGGGACAACAAAATACAATGCAAAACCTTAGACAGAAAATGTCTGTTCTGAGCTGTGCTCTACATTGTGAAAACAAACACAAACTAATGCTGCTAAAGAATTACATAGGGAAACTTAACTACTAACTGCTTACATTCACAGTTGTTAGCTCGCAGACATCATTTGATTCTAGTCCTAATGTAACTGGAACAATACCTTTTACATATGTCGATAGAATCCCCAGCCTAAGACAAGGAGTGTCTCCTACTTCTCGACGGAGTGGACTTCGTCTCGTCCCCGGTGGTTGATGCAGGGCTGTCTGAGGTATCTGAACTGCTGTTTTCACTGTGCCTATCTTTGTTGGACCACAGCTTCGAGAAGATCTTCTTCCACACGATTAAGTTCTTTACTTTGTTCGTGGCCGTCTTTTCGGCGCTGGTTTTCGCATCGTTAGCCTGACCGTCGTAGTTGCTTCCTGCTCCATCCCTTAGCTTCAGAGTAGCGAGCTCGCCTTTCAAAGCCTTGAGCTCCTCGGCTGTGGGCACAGCGTCCCAATCCTCCTCGGTGTTGGTTGTAGTGGTCCGCGAGCTCCCGTGGGATCCTCCCGGTAGCAGCGCCCTGATTGATCCCGGGAGGGTGGAAGTGCTGCCCTCGTCGGATGACGTTGCAGATCTTACTTGCTCGAAGAACAGAACCTGTACAACCACTCGCAGTGGAAGCCGCTCGTTTTGCACAGCGTGCATGCAGGCCTCCACCGATAGCTTCCGACAATCCATAAGCCGACATATCTTTTTCCTTTCACTTTTAGTGATCCCAGGATGTTCCTGCAATGAAAAGACAATATTTTTTTTGAGTACTACTGACTCTGTTACAATGCAGTATCTATTCACCCTCCACTGAGGCTCGGACCCACAACCTCCTATATAAGAGAGCAACTTGGTGCTACTAGACCAAATTGACAATAATTGCAACAAATTGACATAATTAGCCTACATTCATTACCTTGAGAAACATGTCAACTGCGCGGTAAATTCCATCATGTGACGGTCTGGGGAATCCAGATACCATCTCTGCAAGATCAACGAATTTCGACAATGGTAAATTGGAATCTTTTGCAACTTCGGTGAGGTAGCCATCAACTAGCCTAGCCACCTTAGCCTTTGAAGCGTCTGAAGTGAACACGGGGCACATATCCTGGAATTCGTTATCTGCTGTGCATTCAACCTGAAAACGTTGTTCCTGCATCAGAAACTGCTCGACTAGGTCGTGTACAATGCCGATATCATATACAGTTTGCTCGTCTTTGGGTGCTTGAATTAAAAGATCAGCTACAGTAGCGTCTTCCAGCTGCAGGCCGATCCTTCTCATCAGCTCTCGTCTCTGGGTTTCTCCGCAATCCAATGTGATGGATGCTTGGAACAGTTTGAGCAAGAAACTGCAGGGAACGCTGTTTTTCTCGGGGGGCAATAAGCCTGTAATGGTGTCGACCACGTGCCGATACTTCATAGGATCGCTTCCTTGTACTACGCCCCCCTTGCTGAACCCGGGCAGCCTCCTATAAGCATACGCTTTCAACGCTTCTCCAATTATATCAGCAGATGTTTGTCCCTTCGACTTTATACTCGTGATGACTCGTTTGTATAAGTCTATACTCAGCTCACAAAGGTCCTCCACCCACCAATCATTCGGGACCGTGTGCAGCTTTTGGACTCCATTCCAGTGAGAATCGTTCCCGTTTTCAGATGGAAGCTTCTTACGGTTGTAGGTATACGACCACTCGACCTTGGAGGGGTCGATTGACGCTTTAAAAGCGACGGAGTCAAGGCAGTGGCTAACAATTTTCAGCGCCTCCGACCAGGGAAGAAAAGATTTGGTTGTATGAAGAACAATAATCGAGTCTTTCCAGCTCCTGAAAATGCTGGACGCAAGAAACACTTCAACCTTGTAGATAAGGTTTCCTTTGTCAACTGTTTCGTACATCCCCAGGTACTCTGCTGCACATCGAGCAGCAACCACGTTGTACGCATTAAGGGTAACCGTCATGCCATAACAATACTTTGCACAAATTTCAAATGCAGCCGGTCCACCGGGTATATCATGGATGTTAATCTCGTCGTCGTTGCTATCTTCATTTGAAGATGCAACCAGTTTTTGCAAGCGAGAACTCTTGGACAGAAGAGGAAACTGCAAGAATAATTAGGTGTTTCGGGTAATTAATCTGGTTTAGTAATGATATTTTGGCATATAATTACAACAAGACTTCGGTCTGCTGTATCTATATGTAGTAATCCAACATAGTTATTGATGGCTGTCTACTTGTAAACATACCTTGTGTAGATAAAATCTCACATCCCCGACGTTGATAACCACATCAGTTGCCAATTCAGTCGCTACGTACCTGATCAAATAATTCTCATATATATCATACTCGTGATCAAAGTTCAGTTCTGTAAACAATATTTATCCACATCACTATATAACTATATTACCCATTCACACCCAAAATAACCAACTTAATATATGTGCTTTTCACATTCTGTATTTCTCTATAACCAAAACTTAAATTGTTCAACTATAAGTTTCTCTAGAACAGCTAACACTAACAATGGAACCAAACAAATTCTAATGCAATAAAGCGCTAAATAAATTAGAACAGTGAGAAGACGAACCTGATATTATTATCAGCTTCGCTCTGAAACTGATCAGGTTTGGACCCAAGTTTCATGAACTTCATATTGATTGTCTTTTCAACTCAATTAAATCTCAAAGAAAACAAATCCCAGTATACCAAGAGGCGTTCTGGGATTGATTCAAGGCAACGAACACAAACCCGAGAAAACAAAGAGATTTATGCTCCAGAGGCTGTGTGTGTTGTTGAAGAAAAAACAGTGTATGAGTGTATGAGCAATGGTATTATTATAGCAAAGGCCACCGCCTTTGTTTTGATTAGTTTATCTTATCCCCCAATTCCCCTCTTGAATCTCTGTGCCTCCTCAACTGAAATTTATACAGTAACTTGGAGAAACCTAACAGCCCAATGAAAGTCTGGGACCTGTGACAGAAAACAAACATGATCTCGGTAAGAGGCGAAGGGCAACCCCAAATTTGCAGACAACAACCATTGACCGGCAATGGATTATGATACATATGCCAACAAACATGCACTAGAATCAACACAAATGTTCCAAACTGGCAGAGAAAACGAAAACAAGGCGGCAAAATCTAACACCCCACATGCCACATCAACCAACTGGGAAACACTCCAAAAACAAACCCACCCAACACCATAAATCAAATCAATGCCTCTTAATTAATCAAACACCTCCCTCCCAGTTCCCAGTTCCTTCTGCAACAACCTAAAACCCACTTGATGCATACAAATGAGAAATCATTAAGCAAAAATGTTAGATCTTTACAGAACCCAGATTGAAAAAAGATGGAATCTTTAAACACAGTGATCTGGAGAACTCACATCAGAGAGTTTAGTAATGCAAATGGTCCAACCCAAGCTGCAAAGCGAGAGAGAAGAATCAATAGAAAAGAGGGAAGAGGCGAAAACAGTGCAAACACACTGTAAAAGCAGTAGAGATGAAATGAAATGTAGTTTGAGAGACAAAGGCCACCTGCAAGGGCCACCACCACAAGAATATGCTATGCTGCTGCTAATACTAGTATCTTTAGGTGATCGAAAAAAGATGATTAGCCCCAAGCGAGCAAAGAACACACACACGAAAAGAGAAAACCACCCATCAAAAAGATGAGTTGTCCCTAATCTTTGCCAGCCACCATGGCAACACCATGTTTTCGCAAAAAGCCAAGCGCAGAATGTTCCCAAAGTCTCTTCTATCTCTTTAGAATCAGCACCACCGCCCCCACCACCACTCCGCTTTTTTTTCTCCACTCAAATCTTTTTATACTCGGAATCTGAATTCGCAGTACACCCCTTCACGAACCCATACAAAATTTAACAAATACTAGCTGTAAATCTGTGGTTTTTTTTTAATATTATTTTTCTACTTTTTTTCTTGCGCTGCTGCAACCGGAAAGTGAGTGGCTTGCTTTTTGGGTGAAGGCTAATGTGGTTCCTCCCCAATCTGAAAGAAAGAAAGAAGAAAATAGAGTGGTGGGCTGGGCACGCCAATCTGACAGACTCTACTTTGTTTGGTCCCTACTTTGCTCAAAATACAATAACAAAGCCTCCTTTACCCGCTTACTTCTTGCGGGAGATACCGACCCATCTATTCCTCTCTCGTACTTTGATAATAATGCTATCCATCTATTCTCTACTCACTATTCTACTATGGACTATTAGGGGGTGTTTGGTTGGAAGTCAAATTCGTGAAAAATGTTTTCTTAAAAGTGTAGGAAAATGTTGTTTTATGTTGTTTGGTTAGATGAAAAATCTTTTCCATGGGAAGTTGAGTTCCTAAAGTTGAAGGAAAACAAAATTCTAGCAAGACATTGGTATTTTGTTTTCCAAAGGGTTTGGGAAGAAAGTATTACAATATTGGACTATTTTACCCTCCTCAAAGTTTATTAATTACACATGTATATATTATTGTTAAGGGCATGTTGGTCTTTATATTCATAATTCCTTACCATTCCAACCCCACCAAACAATAGAATTCATATTCCCAGTAATTTCTTTTCCACCAACCAAACAATGAAATCTATTTTCCTGGTAATTTGTTTTCCATGGAATTTGAATTCCATTTCCCATCAAATATTTTCCACCGAACCAAACGGGCTGTTACATTTTGCTGGCACTAGCTCAATGGTTCAGAATATAGTATTTAAAAGAAGAGATTAATGTTCAGTTTTGATAACAGTGTAAAAATTATGTTTAAAGTGAGCAATCCGGTGTGCCTAAAGTTATGTCTATTAAAGTATTGAATCATCTTGATTTACAGCATCCCAAATACTCTGTCGGATAGAGATGTGGAGAATCCTTAAAATTGAAGATTTAACGTTTTGGGAGAAGAGTATTACATTTCTTTGCTTTTTTTTTTTTTTTTTAAAAAAAAATTGTTTTATTGTTTTTTTTTTTAAACTGGTCATTAAAGGAGATAAATCGCGAGTAGTCATGTTAATTTGCAAGTTCTTACTCCAGAGTTTTCAAGTTTTTGGTTAGATTCGAACCTGATCAGTTCAACCAACTAGACTAGTTGTGATTTACAACAAAATTAATGACTGCTATGGAAAAAATGAATTGCTAGTTGCCCATGATTAAATTAAAAATATTGTGTTTAAAAGTCAATTGTTAGACGAAGGTGATTGAAATTATTCTAAAAGTGTGTGCTAGTTACTCTTTGAATAAATTGAAATCTTATAGTTATTGTATATCAACTGTCAGACTAACTTAACCGAAGTTGTTTTGAAATAATGATATTATTTTTATAGGAATTAATTAAAATTATGATAGTTGTTCACGGAAAACTATGGTTCAGGATAAATAGATGCGGACACTTGTAATTGTCACGAGATTACTTACTACGAATGATGTTTGATAAAACGTCGTTACACCTTCTTGTATGTTGTCGTGAAAGATTATGAAGAAGTTAAAACTTCATTTTCATATTCCGGAATCCGGAGTGTAAACTAAGGAAAAGATTTATAATCTCATATTTAATTTTGCTATAAATATATCCAGACCACAAATAAGTCATAATACACTTTTTTTAGCTTAATAATATGTTTTTAGCTTATTTTTCGCATGCTATTTTAAGCAGTATAAAGTTGAAAAATAATTTTTTAAAAGGAAAATGGCACTTTTTCCCCCTATGTTATATACTTATAGCACTTTTTCTCCCTCAATTATTTATGTAAGCACATTAGCCCCCTCAATTATTTTAAAAGTTGTGGTTTTCTCCCCTAATATATTAAATTGACATTTCTACCCTTAAAGTAAACATTTTATTTATTTTACTTCTCCAACAAATTATTGCGTATATGTAGCGATTACCACGGTTCGGTTCGAACTGAACCAGACACTATAGCAATCGAATTAAAAGTTTTCAGTTATGATTCAGATCTAGAACCCAATATTTGGATTTCAATTTATTAAATTTAAGAACAAAAAAAAAAAAACTGGATCATGAACCGACGGTTCCGGATCCCGTTCGCGATTTTGAACCGTCTTTATTTTAAAATTTTATTTTTTATTTTAAAATAGTTTAAATTCAAGAATAAATGTATTTTATTTTTTCAGTTTCGAACATGAACCGCCCATTCCAGTTTGTGATTTTAATAAACTCTAAATATCGCGTTTTGATTATAAATTGTAATTGGAATATTTTGGTTTGGTTACTATAGTATCTGGTTTGAACCAAATTATAGTAATAATTTATTGGAGAATAAAAATAAATGAAATATTTATTTTAAGGGTAAATATGTCCATTTAACATTTCAAGGGGAAAAAGAGCCACTTAAATAATTGAGGGGGAAAAAGTGCTATAAGTATATAACATAGGGGGAAAAAGTGCCATTTTCCCTTTTTCAAACATAATTAATTAAATCGTTTTGAGAGTATTAAACTTCGCTTAAAATCCAAGTAAATTCTAAGTTTTGCGTGTTTTGTAATGATAAAATAAAAAATAATATTGCAAGAATATGTTTTTTTTTTTTAATTGACGTGTAGTCCAATCGAAATAATGAACATCCAGTGTTGGGCTAATGGATAAACCGTGACCACATCTCCTTTTATGTTTATCCAAATCGCTTTAATTCCCCCAAGCCTTTCACATGCTTTGCTCCAAGTTCCCAACTCTCCATATTTCACTACTATCAAATGTCAATCCTTTATTCAAATTTATATTTGAAATCTCTTCTTTTCTAAATTAAAATTAAATTCATCTTTTATTTTTCAATTATACTCCGTAACTATATTTCTATTTGTAGTCAAAGACCTCTTCAAATCGGTAAAATTCCATTCAACACATTCAAAATGCAATTATATATATAAAAAAAATAGTGAATTTTAATGGAACTAATAACGTGTTTTAGACATTTTGAACTGAATTTGATTGATTTGAAAAGTTTGAGAAATTAAAAATTGAGTAGCTCTAATAATTGGGCACAAGGTCCCAATCCCATTCCTTTATATATACACTATTTGGCAAGTTGACATCACTGCAATAGCGAATCATTGTAGGGTGGTTGAGGGACGGACAAAATGACTTTGTGATACAATGTTGTATATGATATAAATGAGTAAGTGTAACTAATTGTACTTATTACTATAAACATTAATGTTAATTGTAATCAATATATATAACCCGTTGCACTTGTGTGACTATGTATTAAGAATATGGTGTGGATTGATAATGTTGAAGTTAGTTTCCTAAGTTTATATATATAATGCTAAAGTATAATGTGTTTTGGCATATGGTAGTCCATTGCTACGTAACAAAGCGATGGATCCATAAAATGAATGTTATAATAATATGAATGCACAATTAATAAATCTGCTGTGAGCAGAAACAAGTAGTGGTTCAAGCTGACACGATTTTGGATCAAAATCTTGGGCAAGATACTATCCACGACAGCTGGTCGGATTGGTGCCCATAAATTGTCTCAAGTTTTATCAGTTTCCCCGAACCCACATCCTAATGTGGTTTAATTTACCCATTCTTGAAATGAGATAGCTGAATGAGTCTAACGTAACTCTCGTACCAGAAAGTCATAAGTTCAATTATTGTTAACATTACAAGCAAGCCCGTCACACATGCATGGTTTTTTTAGTACATTTATTTTTTATATGTGATTTGCGAGCTATTACATATGAGAAGAGTTACTTAGTGCATACATTTGAGTAGTGTTTTCGAGTTCTCCCCATTCATTAAAAAAAAATGAGATTTACCTAGTGCATATACAAATTTGGATAGTGGATGCTAGTTCGCCTCATATTCCCAAATGATGGATATATCGGGCCTGCTCAAGAAGCAAGAGCCAAGCGAAGGGGAACCCAAAGGAGTGGAGGCTAGTTACCTGACCTCGGGCTCAGCTTGGGATGCAAACGGCTTCCAAGGTAAGCCGACACATCAGTAGTCGGGGGATTAAAAGGCTTGTTCTTGTGGAGCTAGTGCCATATTTGCGGGGAATTAGTTGGAATGAGTGGTTCAAATAATGGCACACCCCTTTGTCTTGGTAAGGATACATTATTTATTTCACTACTACATATCTTTTGTAAAAAAAAAATAAAAAAAAAAATCAATCGAAGTCTACTCCATATACATTTTCTGATAGTGATTATAAGTATATCGTGGTTCTAATTTAAAAAAATAAATAAATAACATTTGCACTCGTGGGGGTACTTACTTCAAGTCGTTTGGCAACTTTTTTTTAATTTGGCTTTTAGGATCTTATGGGAATATCTCTTTGCCACTTGTGACTATGCGTCTGTTGCAAGGGACAACGTCTTTTCGTTTTCTTAATTGTTTTTGTAATTGAGATTAGTGATTTGATGGTACCTAATTCATGCATATATGTTTTTTTCTTTTTGAAGATAAATAATTAAATTTCATGGATTTTGCACGACAACATCGACGCCAAAAGATGGTTGAGTGGGGATTGACTAGTGCCCACTCTCCTCCTAAGTTTTTCGTCGGTTTGTCTTTCATGCATGACTTTAAGATTGTGTTGGGCATCATCTCATATAAATATATAATAATTATAGTAAATGCAATTAGAGAATTAGAAAATTATAGTAAAAACAAAATAAATCAATGTAAAGTGTAATTTGATGGTAAGTTAATCAGATTTCTTGATTATATGTATAAAATAAGCTAAATTTGGACACACCATCACACTTATCAAATGTATGATTGTATAAAGTGTTCATTGATGATCAACGTACTAATAAAAATTAAAAAGGAAAAAATTACAACAATTACTAGTTAGTTCAATGACTATTATGAGTTAATATAACATTCTCAAAAATATTATTTAACCTGTGAATGCATGTAAGGATTTGAGAATCTTATATTACCTGAACAAAAAAAAAAAAGAATATGATATTACCATATTTATATTTTTTTAGGCTATATATCTCTACATCTCTACAATCTCTACAATTCTAATAAGAGTCAATAATGTTAGGCCCTTAACTGGAACAAAAAAATGTCGGTCCTATTGTTTCTTAAAATGAATGGTTCATATTATTTTTATTTTAGTA